TATATATATATATATATATATATATATATATATTATTAAACGGGCATCATTAATTGTAAAAAGTATTCATGAATAAAATAACTATTTATCTATTCATTTGTTGGTTTATTTATCAATTTTAAACATAGTCATCATTAATTGTATAAAAGTATTAATAAATAAAATATTGTTTGTTTATTTATTTTATTTTCTTAAAAAAAAAGAGCATCATTTATTGTGACAATAGAAGTCTACGGTACTTCAGAAATTGCATGTCCTCATTTAGATGTTTAACAAAACCTGATGTCCCTTTAGAGATATCCAGGGGCATCATTAGTTGTGAAAATTATTCATTAAAAAAATACATATTTATTTAAAAACGGGGCATCATTAATTGTAAAAAAAAAAAAAGTATTCATACATAAAATAACATGTGTTTATTTTTTATTTAATTAAGAAGGAAGGAAGGAAGGAAGGAAGGAAGAAAGAAATATCAATGTATGCATGTATTTATGGATGTATACATTTTTTTAAGGGGTTGGATTAGTATTAGCCTATAGTAATTATAATTATCTTTATGTAAAAAGTCCCTGACATTACATCACTTAGGTAACTAATATATTATGTCTGTGTTTTTCAAAGTGAAGACTGCAGTATTGTTTAACATTTAGACAGTGGTAGGTTGTGTTGGTTTAAAGAGTCATAATCAGAGGAATAACATACTCTCCCACTGTTTGGAGGAGGTGTCTCTGTGGACAGTGATGCTGATGGTGTTGTGACGAGAAACGAGTTCACATTATCAGTCTGTCATGATATAATGAGGGATTACACTGAGATAAAGTGTTTGAATTGTGTGTGTCAGAGCTCTTAATAATCTCACTATTCTCCACTGCACTTCCTCACTGGATTGAGTCTCAGTGTCTAATGGTTATCAGATTTACATCAGATGACCTAATGGTCAATGGTGCAAAGTGAAGGGATTAACCCAGAAAAACAATCCCACATTGTAAAGTCCTTGTATTTGAAGCCCACATTACATTACAGTACCGTGGGCGAGAGATTGGCGTCACACCTGTCACTGCCGCACTCGCTCTATGTATTAGTGCACTATAAAGCTACTATAAGCTTTCCTATTGTGCTCGCTAAGAGCAGTTATTATCATCTGAGAGTTCAGAATTTGGAGTGACAGGCTTAAAATGCCAGTTAAGAGAGCACAACTCGTCAATGTCACGAAAATAGTAGCTAATCATTTTTTTTTAGGATTTATAAATTTATTTAAAAATACATTAAAATGGAATTAATGCATACAGTTATGCATTACACCTCTTATATGATAAGAATGTTTTTAATTTTCAAATTAAAATTAATTTGAATAATTTTGGCGAAATAAAGTAAAAAATGTCAGGGTGATAACAATTGTCCAGATATCACAATGTAGAGCAACAATTCTTGAAAAATAAAACAATTTCTCTGCTTATGAATATTTGATTTTTGTATGCTAAATAAAAGAAAAACAAAACATAAAATAGGAAATTATATCACAGAGTTTTCATAAGTGCCTTAAAATGTCATATAAATGAAGGCTGGTTGAGGTTATAAAGTGTCATGTCGTGAGACGCTCTAAAAATGTAATTATATTTATAAATTAATGATTAACATAGTTGTAAAAATATATTTGAGCTTTTTAACTTTTTAATAAAAAAGAAAAAGAAAAAAAAGATGTTTTTTTTTCAAAACCATATGAAACCAACATGAATACAAAGACTCTTTTCAAAGAACATTTGTTTTAAACTAGATTTTTCCTGTTCTTTTATCATGCACACTCATATTTGTCTCTGACCCATGTTCATTTGTTGATTTCCATACACAGTAATGGAAAAGCTGTACATTAAAACAGCTATCGAATCCAAACCACACTCCATTAAAATACTAATAATCATTACTATGGCATTGAAAATCATTTTACAGAGTATGCAGAGCATTATAGCACTTGTTTTTATTAATTCTTTCAGTATCCGTGGTTCATCCTCTTACAGCATTATCACAATATGAATATGCTCTTCTTAATGATGACCATCACTATATATAGCTTTGAATCCCTCCTCTGGGGATTTTTTTATTTATTTTTGCTGTGGATTTCTGAGGGCTAAAACTTGCCTGTTGTACAGAATGTGCTGTTTTCTAGACAGATTGCCATTAATATTCATGATCAGATTCCAAAACCTCAAATCTTTTTATTACTTTGCTCCATAAATGCAATGAAAAAGCAACCATCTACAAGACAACCCACTTGTATTGTAGTAATGAAGCCATAAAAGATACTCGCATATGCATGATTTGTAAATAAATGGGGTTGCAGCTGGTCCATATGGTGGAATAAAATACTGAAGTATTGAACTTGGATAAAATGACAATTATTGACTTGGCTGAAGCTTCCATCATGCTGCTGTGCCCTTATGTATCAACATTGAATGCTTTGAACATTCAATAAATGCCAATAACCAAATCCTAATGCTTTACTTCTTATGAGGGGAAACACCAGGAGAGAGACCTCTGCCCGTATCAACTGCACACATAATGGGAAAAACACCATAAAATGTTAAGATAATGGCCTCTCGTCATGCTGAACGTGCTATTATTTTAAGCGTTAGTGTTAGTGTTTCTATTCTCAAAGGTTTGAACTGTAAATCTGAAGCTGATTCATCCAGTTGGGTTAGTTTGCCTTCGGAAAATGTTAGCACTTTACCCAGCAAACTCTGTTCAACAACTTTAGTCAGAATTAATGTGTCTAAACTTACAATAGATTTGAAGAATGAAAGTTTAAGCTCAGATGAATAGGAAGTTCACACACTCGATTTAAATTCACACTGGATCTGATGCATGAAAATTTAAATTCACACTGGATCTGAGCGTGAAAGTTTAAATTCACACTGGATCTGAGCGTGAAAGTTTAAATTCACACGGGATCTGAGCGTGAAAGTTTAACTTCACACTGGATCTGAGCGTGAAAGTTTAAGCACCACAAAAAATTACATTCTTTTTAAAAACTTTTTTTGCAGTTCACACTGGATCTGAATAGAAAAGTTTCACACTGAATCCAAAAAGCCAAAATTTTATTTCACACTTGATCTGACAAGAGAAGGTTGCACACTTAACTTCTCACTGGATCTAAAAAGTGGATCCAAACTGCATCACACTGGATCTAAAAGGTGGGTTCTCTTGCTTCAAATAGCAGAGATTTAGGTTCACACTAGATTTGAAGAGTGAACTGGATCCAAATGCAAAGTAAACCGAATTTGAAGAGCAAAGTTTGTTTGATAACAATTAATAACCGTTCACTGTCTCATAGAGCTGAAGTATGTAATGTCTCTAGTTCTGTGTCACTAAAACAGAATTGCAGAAAGTATTTAAAGACATAAAAAAATGATACACTTCATCTTTACCTAAGGCTGTAACTTGTGAGCAACAGCACAATCCAAATTAACAGTACAATCCGGGACCAAGCATATCTACTTAAATTGAATTTTGCATCCTAACAAAAAATTTAATCTTTGTCAGTGTTAAAGGCTAATAGCTACAAACATAAATCCAAGGCATTTTCGTGTGGTCTTGAGCTGAATAGTCTTTTGATATATTTGTCTGTACTGGCACCCCCCCATCTAATCCAATAACCTCCCTACACTGCAGCATCTGCTTTGATCAGTCAATGGGGAATCACATCCAATTTAACTGATACATTAATATAATATAATCGTAGTGGGATGATGAACAGGGTCTAAGATGAGAACTCTGGTACACCTCCTGCATTTTCAGGCTTT